ATCCATTTACATGGAGATGAACTCTCCACCCCTGAGGATATGCAAATACACCAAAGCCAGGCGAGATCATCTGGAAATGTTACAATTTTACCCACAAATTGCAAGGACTGTCAAGTCAAAATTCTGCAGGACAGGCCAGTAGTAACCTGGAGACCGACCCAGGGAAGTTGATGTTTTAGCCCAAGGTCAAAGGCAGCCTTAAGGCAGAATTCCTCTTCCTTAGGGAAGCCTGTGTGTTTTTTACTTAGGGCTTTCAACTGATTGGCTGAAGCCTACTCACATTATGGAGAGTTGTGATTTAAATGTTAATCACATCTGAAAATTACCCTTACAGCAAAATCTACGCTAGTGTTTGACCAAAAACTGGGTACCATGGGTACCTTGGCCTGGCCAAGTTGACACATAAAAGTAACCATCAGAGCCACTGTCAGCATGTGACTTAATCTTGGGAGCCTCAGTTTCCTTACCTTCAAAATGGGGGTGAGACGACCTGCTTGAAGGGTTGTTTTGGGGTCACATGAGGTTAATGGTATAAGGTGTCTAGTGGGGTGCCTGGCACACACTGGCATGCCCTGAAAGAGCTATTATTCGTGTAAACACACAGCCTTTGCAGAGAAGTCAGGTTGAAGTTCAAGTCCCAGTCCCACCAAATGTTAGACAGAGGTGACCTTGGGCAGATCCCTTGACCTCACTGAACCTGTTTCTTTATCCTTAAATGTTGGCAGTTACGGGCTTCCAGGGTGACATGTAATGTTACTAACAAGCATAAAAACAGGATCAAGGACTCTCTTGTCCCCTCTTGGCATGGGCTGGGAGCTCTGTCCTTTTACTTTATCTCTAAATAAAAGCCTGTACCTTGCTCTCCTAAACAAACAAACAAAAAACAAAACAGGATCATGCTTGGCACTTGGTAGAGCCATCACCTCCCAGGGAGGTAGAGGTAGACCGACAGGAGATATTTGGGAGGTCAGGCAGGGTGTAGTCAGAGTGGAAGTTCGGAGGCAGGGCTTAGGGCCCAGATGATGAGCATGGGTGCGCAGGTACATTTCCTGAGAGCTCAGGAAGGGCTGGGTGAGCGAATGCACTGAGCCAGCGTGGGAGCGCGGCTTTGCAGTAGATGGCCTCCAATGGCAAGCTGTGTTTCTTCCACCCAACATGCCCAGTGGGCACCAAGCAGGGACTCCCAGAATTGAGGAGGGCCTCTCAGAATCTCAGCCTCCCACTGGGAGGTCATGGAGGAGGTGGTGGGACCTTTAGAACCTGGTCCCCAGAATTGGGAACATTTTACAATCATTACTTTTGGGTAGGATGTATGGTGTTTTGAGGATAATCCCTTAAACCAGGTGGTTAACGAGGAAGAAACACAACTTTTATCTTTGAAAAACCCACCCCCAAACTATCACCGCTTCAATATCTCTGATATACATTCCCTCCATAACCTACCCCTGTACTATGCATACACTTCCACCCTGCCTCTTCTCCCGTCTCTCTCTCCCTGTGTGTCAGTTATTTGTGCCCTTATTCCCTGCAGATAGGCTGGGGTGCCCTTGTTCCATTACCCTGTCATGGCCTGGTCTTCCTGACCACTCTCAAGTTTGGCAGCCTATGCCTGTTCCACCACCTCCTAGCAGGACACCTTCCAGGGCCCCCATGCTGCTCTGGGTCCATCTCCCCGAGTCCCATTTGCAGAGCTCTTCCTGACCTGGCCTCTCAAACATGCCCTGGTTCTCTTTGCACAGTCCAGAGCTCTGGCTGCCTGGCCAGGAGGCTCAGGTACCTTGGCTTCTTCCAGGATTCAGGGTGGTCCTCACAGCCCTGAGCCAAGGGCCATGGGAAGTAAGAGATGTAGGTCTTGCTCCAGGAGCTCTCCAGTCCTCATAAGCAGAAACCACTTCCTCTCCCCCTTGGGTTTCTGGGAAGATGTTGGGGAAGAAGGACAAACAACCAGAGGAAGGAAGAGGCATGCCTCTGCCTGTCTGTGACACACAGCTTGCAAACTGCAGAATTGCAGCTTTCTAATAAGCATTATTGTAACTTAAGATGATGTTTACCCAGTACTTCCAAGTTCCATGAACTTTCTCTATATTAACTCCTTTGTTCCTCTCTGTGACTCTCTGAAATGGACACTCTTGTCATCTCCATTTTACAGAGGAGGAAACTGAGGCAGAGCTGGGATTTGAGACCAGGACTCCAATTTGAACTCAAGCTACATGGCTCCTGGGTCGCACTCTTACCCCATTCCTGTTGTTCCTGAGCACCAGAAGGCCAATTTGGTGGTCATCCAATGCCCTCACCTTTGAGCCCAGAAAGGAGATCAGTTGCCTTCCCTGACATGCCCGATGATGGCTGCCTCCCAGTCCTGCCCTGCTCTGCCTGCCCCTCGGCTGCTGTTGTGCTCACTCTGTTGTATTCTAGTTCTCTTACCTTTCTTACCTCAGCTAGTTGTTGTCAGGGTCTGGGGCCTGCCCTGCACACAGCAGGTGCTCATCAAATGCCTGTTGAATGAAAAGAGAGGATGGCATTGCCATGGGCAGTGGCACCCAAATGACCAGATACCTGGCAGGCCTCCAGGGCCCCGAGGGAGGATGAGGAAGGTACCACCAAGAGGTGGGAACGATCTGAGGTGACTAGTCACAAGACTCGGTGGTGGAGGCAGACTTTGAGATCCAAAGGTGATGTCATTGGAGACATTCCGAGCCTGGCAGAGGAGGCAGACATACAAGCCACAGAAACAACACTGCTTACACAAAGAGCCACAAAACGAGCACGTGCACAGGCCACACAGACTGGAGGAGGAAGGGCTGGAAACCCTCCCTGCCCAGCATCTGCGCCGGTCTCTACAGAGGGTTTTTACATGTTACCTCGTCTTCTCCCAACAACTGGGGATATGCATGTATGGCCCCCACCATGCCTCCAGGAGCAGCAGATCCCACCCAGCCCCTCCAGCCATTGGGGCTGAGGATGCCCAGGCAGCTTGGATCACTCACTTCACAGAACCACTGAGTGCCTGCTCTGTGTCCAAGCAGCAGCACCCCGGTGGACAGAGTTTCTGTCATATGGCCCATACATTCTGGTGGGAGGCACCCAATACCGAGGAAAGGCACACAGACTGTTAGGTGACAGAGCGCTGTACCCCCGCCCCCAGCACCAGGGTACCCAGGAGATGGAGGGAGCGCACTCCCTGCTGTCTGTGGGTGGGTGGGGGTAGCTGTACTCCTTGGAATGTCTGAAGGTCGGGAGCTAAGGCTCTGGGACAGACTGGGCTGTTTCAGAAAGTAGGGACTTGTGTCACCCGCATCTTCACCAGCCCAGAAGGGAGTAGGCTTCTGCGCCCTGCTGCTGGTGTTCCCCTTCCTTTTGGACCTCTCGGCATGGGGTCTGGCTGGAGGCTTTCCTGCTATTACTTCTAGGACCCAAAGGGGTCCTGGGGGAGTGGGAGGAAGGTGTGGGGAGAGTGGAATGCGCTTTGGATGTTTACTCCCCATAGGGAAATCAAGATCTCTTGCTGACTGACCTGTATTTTAGAGAGGTAGGAACACAGGTCTGGAAAATGTTAAGTCTGAGCTCATCACCATGGCTTGGATCTCCCTAAGGGGAGTGCCATTCCACCTATAAGTCTGGGGAGAGGAAACCCCAGGGCAAAATACCTCTAAAAACCGAAATCAGTCAAAGGGAAAAATAAAGTTAAAATCCGTTTACTGCTTACAAACTGCAGTCCGGGGCCTTCTCTCTTTCCTGCTCCAGTAGAAGCAAAACTGGCCCTCCTCCTCACCTCTCAGGTACAGATAAGCCCTCCCTGGTCCAGGTAATTACCCATCCATTGATTTGGAGATGAACCTCTCTCAGGACCTGAGGATATGCAAATGCACTAAAGCCATTACTTCTTTCCACCCTCTGAATACCTGTTGATATGCAGTGTACTAAAAGCCAGGCAAAATAATCTGGAAATGTTATAATTTTACCCACACCACCCCAAGCCACTTATTCTCCCATCTGGGGATTTGGCTCCTGCCCCGAGGAGATTGCGTGTCCATCAGGAACGAGAACAGAGGATAGCATATTGGCAGGCCAGCATAGCAGAGAGGCAGGACAGGCTGCTCGGGGGTCATGCAGCCAGCACTGGGCTGGGAGTCAGGAGACTGGGGTTCTATGCAGGTCCCTTTTCCAAGGGAAGGGCTCATTTCTTAGTGTCCAAGGGAGAGATTCAGAAGAGACTCCTAGCAGTTCTTACTAAGTCATCTGACAGCACATACACCCTGAAGCTGTTGCCTTGGCCAGCTGCTTTCCTTGCTGTCACTCGACATCTGGTTCAAAATCTGTACAATTAATAGAAAAAAAGGGAAATTAAGTGTGCCTCCCAATGTGACTGATACTATGCTCTACTTAAGAAGTTTTTGACTTTCTTGAGCTATCCTTTATAGCATCTGAGATATCCTTTAGCATCTCTGGAATCCATGCAAGAACTGAATTTGGGGGAGTGGGGAGGAGGAGGTGCTCTGCAGAGGTCTGCACTTTTGCAGTTTACACAAAACACATCTCACACAGCCCCATATGGGGCCACACAGTGGAGCCTCTTAAGCCAGGAGAGCCACTTCCTGAGTAGTCTAAAGAGAGCCTGTCTGCACCCACACGCTTGCTCCCTTCCTCCCAAAATGCAACCATCCTCCCCACACCCTCTTCTCCCTAGGAAGACTCTGACTTACTTAGACAGTAAAGCTGCCATTTTGGGATCACCCCACTGTGTGTCAGGTCTGGAAATGCTCTGGAAATGTTGCCATCTTTCCAGAAAAGCTGTCATTAACCCATGTTCTAGAAGACGAAACTGTTTCTCAGAAAGGTTGACTGTCAAGCCCTTATAGTTTGTAAGCGGCTGAGCCAAGGGCTGTGTGATCCAGAAACGAGGGCGCGCCCTGTCCCCTTTGCTGCCCCATGGTCTCTGGTCACTGCCCTGGCCCCCAGCCAGCAGAATGTGTAACCACCTGAATGTTTTCTGTCTGTAGACCTCTCCGGGAGCTCTTCACCACCCTCACTGCTGGACCAGCTGCAGATGGGCTGTGACGGGACCTCGTGTGGCAGCCTCAGCATGGAGTGCCGTGTGTGTGGGGACAAGGCGTCAGGCTTCCACTACGGCGTTCACGCGTGTGAGGGATGCAAGGTATGGACAGGGGCGGGGGAGTGGGTGGCTGGCCCTAGGGGCTGTGGTCACATGGTGAGTTGACCTCCAGAAAGGCTTTCCCTGCCACCGGTTGGAGGGGGTGGGGTGGGACCCTGCCTATGGAATGCCCTCTCAGATGCAGGCAGACCCGGGGTCCTTTCCAGGCCTCAGCTCTGGGTCCTGCTGGAGGGCAGATTTCTCTTGTCCTAGGTGCCCTCCTAGGCACGTGCTCTGACCCAGCCTCTCACCTGGGCTCTCTGGGCTGCTGGCACCCCCTGGGGACATGGCTTCAGAAGACAGGCAGCACAGAAAGGGTCCCTCCTAACTGCACAGCCTTCAGAATTTCACAGATTACTTTACTAAACCACTAACTAGAAAGCCAGGTATATTTATGAAGTAATCAAGTTAGCCAAGATTCAATTTTATGTTAACCAAAGAAGTATTTAAAATAAATATGATGTATTATTTTAATTACTTCAAAAGTTTCAGAGTTGTTTACTTTCCTTCCTCTCCCCTCTAAAAAAATTTTTCACTATTACTTCCAGTTGCAGGAATGAATCTCTACCCCATCGCTCATAATTGGGCGCCCTGGTGCAACCTAGGGGCAGAGCGGGATTCTCAACTTCTCCCTCCCTGTGGCTTTTCCTCACCTGTCCCTTGTCCCACAGGGCTTCTTCCGCCGGACGGTCCGCATGAAGCTGGAGTATGAGAAGTGTGAGCGGAGCTGCAAGATCCAGAAGAAGAATCGCAACAAGTGCCAGTACTGCCGCTTCCAGAAATGCCTGGCGCTGGGCATGTCACATAATGGTGAGAGCTGGCTTGGGTGAGGCACAGGGGCTGCTGGCCCCACACAGCCTGGAGCAGGTTTCAGGGAGCCCAGGAAGGGGGTTCCTTCAGAGCAGTGCCCGGCACACCATGAGCGCTACATGAATGTCAGCTGTTGTTCACCTGGCTGATCTGCACCCTGAGTCTTGGTGCCAGCACAAGCTGGCCTACCGTCTGCCTTTCCCACACTGCCCAGTATCACCGTGAATCCCAGGCCAGGGGCAGCCATCACTGCTCTGTTCCCTAGGTTCACCCTCTCTGGCCCAGAAGGAAACCAGAAGTTGCCCACAGCTTCAGTGGTACTGGAAACACCACTCCTGGAAACTCAAGCTTATCTCATATCAGCTGACACACTATGAAAAGCCACTGCCAAGGCTTAGGGTCCCTTTAGCCCTTCTTGGTTATTGAGGGTGAGCAGGAACCAGTAAATGATCGCATGTGTCAGCTGCCAGCAGCCAGGCGGGAGTTTCCTGGAGGTCAGCTACTCCCCAGAGACAGAGCCCGCCCTCCCCTGTGCTGCAGGCCCCCTGCAGAACCTTGTCTTCTGACCCTGTAGAATAAGATTTTGCAGAGCCCACCTGCCCCTCTTTACCCGTCTGGGTCAGACTCCCAGAGGACAGGGGAGAGCCCCGGTTATCTGTCTCCACCACAGATACCCTAACTGTCTTGTGTCTTAGAAGCGGGGCAGGACCTGAGCTGTCTGCCTGCAGCTTTTCCTAGGTGATGGAGTCTGGCAGGTCTAGGGTTTGATCCCTCCCTCAATTTGTATCTGCCTATACCCATTCCTTGGGTGGGATAAGAGGATTTCCTAGATTTCAGGGCCGACTGAATTCTTCCCTTCGCTTTCTCTCTGAGAGAAGCCAGATTCATATCCTGTTCCATTACTAATGGCTATGGTTTCTGTGTGCTTACTGTGTGAGTATTCTTACTTAATTGTTCTGACAATCTGAGGAGATGTAAGTTGTAGTCTCATTTGTCTTATGAAGAAAGATGGTGAAATAGCCTGTCTGAAGTCACATGGCTAGTAAGCTGCCAAGCTGGAACTCAAGTTCAGGCTGTCTCCCCACCACCGCACCGTACCACCTCCCAGCCAGAGCAGCTCAGTCACTCTGTGATTAGGGCCCTTTTATGTGGGGCTCTGTGAAAAGACAGAATCCCCTGTCCGCTGGAGCTTACATTCTGTAGGGGTTCCCCAACATTCCAACTTGCTGGTCTAGAACTCGTAGGGGACTGGGCTCAAAGGTTGTCTCCATCTTTGGCTTGTGTGTCTGTATAGGGACAAGAAGGTTAGAGATGCTGGCCCCTGCCTGGCTCCTTGATGACTGTCCCCCATTCCCACGCAGCCATCCGCTTTGGCAGGATGCCAGAGGCTGAGAAGAGGAAGCTGGTGGCAGGGCTGACAGCAAGTGAGGAAAATCAGCATAACCCACAGGTGGCTGACCTGAAGGCCTTCTCCAAGCACATCTACAATGCCTACCTGAAAAACTTCAACATGACCAAAAAGAAGGCCCGCAGCATCCTCACCGGCAAGGCCAGCCATACGGCGGTGAGTGTCGCTGCTCGGCCTGGCAGCACCCCAGGCTCTGGGCTCTGCTGCCACCAGCCTGACTCCTGGGAGAAGCAGGCCTCCTCCCTCCCCTCACTTCATGGTACAGGCAGGGGGTATGGGGAGCACATGGGCGGGGGTCCCCCAAAGCCTGGCCTCTAACAGGGCCTGGTTTTCAGCCCTTTGTGATCCACGACATCGAGACATTGTGGCAGGCCGAGAAGGGCCTGGTGTGGAAGCAGCTGGTGAATGGCCTACCACCCTACAAGGAGATCAGCGTGCATGTTTTCTACCGCTGCCAGTGCACCACAGTAGAGACTGTGCGTGAGCTCACTGAGTTCGCCAAGAGCATCCCCAGCTTCAGCAACCTCTTCCTCAACGACCAGGTGACCCTTCTCAAGTATGGCGTACATGAGGCCATCTTTGCCATGCTGGCCTCCATCGTCAACAAAGACGGGCTGCTGGTGGCCAACGGCACAGGTTTTGTCACTCGTGAGTTCCTGCGCAGCCTCCGAAAGCCCTTCAGTGACATCATCGAGCCCAAGTTTGAGTTTGCTGTCAAATTCAATGCCCTGGAACTCGATGACAGTGACCTGGCGCTCTTCATTGCAGCCATCATTCTGTGCGGAGGTAAGTGCGGGTCAGCAGGTGGGCTGGGACTGGGCCCTCACTGCAGGGCACCAGGCCTGAGCTCAGACAGCGTGGGGAAGAGCCACATGATGATGGCAGATCATGCAAGGCACTAACTGTCCAGAGAAGACCAGCTCTGTCTCACATAGATAGAGATGTGGTAGGAAGACTGAAAGGAAATACACCAACTCCTATCCAACGCTGATAGGAATTATTTTTGGTGGTGGAGAAATTTTCTCTATCTTACCTACATTTTCATATTCTGACACAACAATCATGTTAACAGTGGTGTAGACCTTACTTCATGCTGGGCCCTATTCTAGTCTTTTCCTAGATTATAACTCATTTGGTCCTCACAACAATGCTGTGTGGAAGGTACTTTGTTACCTTCATTTTATAGATGAGGAAACAAGTCCAGGGAGGCGGAGTAACCTGTCCCAAGCCCCATTGCTAGTTTTGTAGTAGAGACACTATCTGAATCCAGGCAGTGAGTCTTTTAACCACAATACTATACTGCCTGGACTGGAAGAAAAAAGAAAAGGCACAAAGGCGGTGGGCCAGGACACAGGAGGGGGTAGTGGGACATTCAGTAAGGAGTCACTGACAGGACAGGGCTTGGGTCTGTCATAGGAATCCTCCTTCCTCTGGGCAAAGTCACCCATGCAGGGTGGAGGTGGGGGAGCTCCTCTGCCTGCAGAGACCCCAAGCACACCTGCTACCTCCCACAACTCTTCCCTCTGTCCCCACAGACCGGCCAGGCCTCATGAACATACCACAGGTAGAGGCCATCCAGGACACCATCCTGCGTGCCCTCGAGTTCCACCTACAGGCCAACCACCCTGACGCCCAGTACCTCTTCCCCAAGCTGCTGCAGAAGATGGCTGACCTGCGGCAGCTGGTCACTGAGCATGCCCAGATGATGCAGCGCATCAAGAAGACTGAGACTGAGACCTCGCTGCACCCCCTGCTCCAGGAGATCTACAAGGACATGTATTGAGGGGTGCACCCAGGGCCTCCCAGCAGACCTCCAAGGAGCCAAGAATCAGGGGCAGGCGGACAGAGCTGGACAGGCACCATCCACAGGAGTTTTCCGTTGACCAGCCCCTGAGTCTCGGCCCCAACCCAGAGCAGGGGGATCGCACACTCGTGCACTCAGAGACGTGGTCTCTGGCTCCCTGTAGCCCCTTCCTTTGCTTCCCTCTTTCTCAGTTTCTCTTCTGATTTCTTTGAATTTTCTCTTCCTTTCTCTTATGTTTCCCTCTTCTTTTTTGCCTTCCCTTCTCTCTCCCTGTCCCTATGTCTGTCCCTCTTTCTCTTTCTGTGAGACAGTTTGTATTATTTCACCAGCAGCATAGAACAGGACTTCTGCTTTTGTACACATAGGCCCCTGTCCCCCGCCACTGCCCCTGGAGCAGGAGGGAGTGGGACCTGCCCTCCACACCAACAGTCACCTGCAAGGGCAGGGGCCTCAGTTCTGCTTCAGTCTTCACAGCAAAGGACTAGAGCCTTCCAAAGAAACACTATAATCTGTCTGGGCCCAGCTTCCTGGGGAAGCCAAGCAGGGCCTGGGCTGACTGTAGCTGGGTCTGTGCCCCATGGGCCAGGATGTCTCCTTCAGACTCTGGCTACCCTTCCAAGGCTGAGGCTGGCATGCCCTTTCCCAGCCTCCCCTGCTCCAGCAGCATGCCCCAGCCCCAGTGAAAGCCAACACCCTGTATGTTCTTTTAGTCACTGGTCTTCCAGGCCAGTATTTCTCATGGCCCCCTGTGCTGGCCGCTGGGGGACACCCCCCAGCCTGGAAGGAGGTGGGGTTCCTCCAGGTAGGGACCCCCACTTCCCCACTGAACAGGAGTGAACCACAGGGAGGTGGAGTTTGGCAAGGAAGGCAGTGAATAGTGCCCTCAATTCTGACCCCAGGCCATGGGGTTGGCCCCCCATGCAGCCTACACCACTCTGGCAACTGCCAAGCCCTGCCTGTTGTGCTTCACTACCACACTCCCATCTCCACCTAGTGCCAGGGCAAGGCTGCAAGCACAACCTTTCTCTGTCCAGGGAACACTGGCACTGGCTTCAGCCTAGCTGGAGCTCACCACCCACCATACACTCCCTGGAGCTGCCACTCAGCACACCCTACAAGCACTGCGGTCACTTTACCTGCAGGGTCCATACCCCTTATTCCCCACTCATGATGCAGGAACCCCGGAGGGGCCCCCAGGGGGATGGGCAGAGCTGAGCCCTTGTTCCAAAGCCTGGGCCAGGTTCCTTGGTGGGCAGGAACGTCTGCTGAGTCAGCTCAGCCGGGGGAGGCGCCAGGGACAAACTAATCCTGCTCATTGTGACATCCATTTGTCCCAACAGCTCCGCGGCCCTCCCCTTCCCCTGTATTCAGCCCAGCCGGTCACCTGGAGCTCTTCTGCACAGCCTCTGGTGACTGGGCCTGGGCCAGGCCTGGTCCCACTCCCACTCCTCTGGCCCCGCCCCTACGCTCCTCCTAGGTGAAGGGCACTCCTCAGCCTGGCTGAAGCACAGCTAGGAGTGCTTTGTCTGAGCAGGAAGGCAGAAAGCCCACCCAGGCTGCTTTTCCAGGGAGGAAGCTGGGGTGAGGGACTGGATAGGGTCTCTGAGAAAGGTGGCAGAAGGCCTGGCGTTAGAGCCCCAGCTTCCTGGGTCCTGTCCGGTCCTCTTTCCCAAGGGGCCTTTACAGCTGCTCCTGCCAGCACTGTGGCCTCCAGGCCCCAGGACCAGTCTCTGTTGACTGTCCCCTCCCACCCGCCGCTGGCCTGGGATGTGGGTGGGGGTGCCCCCCTCAGGCCAGAGCTGTGAAGGAGGAGATGCTCTTCCTGACTCCCCTCCCCCGCCCCATCCCCCAGTTCACCCCATCCCCCACCTGGGTCTGGTGCTGAGGATACAGCTCTTCTCAGTGTCTGAAGAATCCCTGAAACTGAAATGTATATTTTTGCTAGAAGCCCCAGCTTCCTGTGTTTTTAATATAAATAGTGTACACAGACTGATGAAACTATAAATAAATGGAAATTAAATATTTAAGAGTTGATTTAAGCGATTCAGTTCTTTACATATTTTTCATGGGGCCTGATCGGATTCCTCCCTGTCCCTCTCCAGTGCACGGAAGGGAACCAGACAGACGAGACTTTGGGGTGCTGGCCGGGAGGGCTGATTCTAGCTTGCTTTCTGAAAACTGCTGTCTTTTTTCCTCACCTCCTGCTCTGCTCACTACTGGTCAGCCAGCAAGGGTTGTGAAGGACTGAGAAGATGCTGTCCCTACCCTGCAGGGAAAATTTGGGGAGCAGAAAGCATACACACACTCTGAAAAGGATGCCATGGCCCAAACCAGGGTTGGGGGGCCAGGGTGAGGTGGTTGGGAGGCACTCGGTAGGGATCTGGAGAAGGCAACTCCCCTGGGCCTTGAGCGGTGTATGAGACTCAAAACGCCAAAGCCTGTCATTCATGATGCATTTTTTGCCATTCGCACGGGACATGAGGGCTCCTCTCTCCTTAGCCAGCACCCCAGTTTTCTCCTTTACTTCCAGGGGCGCCACCTTCCCAGAGGCTCCCAGGGAGTGCAGCCCTCAGCAGCCAGTGGGCTTGGCTGCAGTACGAGGCAAGCTCAGAGTATGTTCCGGTGCTTTTCTAGCCAGGTAAGCAATTACCACTAAAAAATTTTTAAATGTGGAATTTACTTAAGGGAATTACTACAAAAGTATTGAAAGAACTGAAAGATGAAAAGGGGGGAAGTTGAGGTCATCAGACATAAGTGACGGCGGGAAGACACCCTCAGGCTTGGCTAGGAAATGGTATTGTCCAAAGGCCACCACCACCAGAATACTCACCGACACTGAGGAAACCTGGGAGGCCAAAGCCACCTGCCTATTTATAGGACCGGAGTCACACACACTGTGCAGTGGGGGCTGCCAGGGTGCCGGCAGTTGTCACCACTGCTACTGCCCCTGGGAACCTCACCATGTGAGCAAAAAGCCTGGAACTCAAACTCGGTTGCTCCTGCCAGAAAGAACCAGCAGAGTTTGGGGGATGGAGAGGTGATTCCTCACCTCCTGTCTTCTCATCTATTTGCTGTACTTCCCATTGAAAAAGCAACTCTATGGGAATCTAGGAAATGTAGATGCAGACTTTCAGTCCCTGCAATATGGGGGAGCAAATGGAAGAGTAGTCATGGAGCCAAGAGCCAGCAAATAACTAGCACAAAGTACAAATGCCAGCCTGAGGCAGTGAGCAGACTCGCAGTGTAAGGTGCCCAAGTCTGACACTTGCTATCTGGTTTCCACTTTTACTAGCCAGCCAGGCAGAGCAATTGGAACTGTCAACTCCCATGCAGTTCATCTCAGCTAGGAGAGTGACAGTTGCAGCAGAATAGGAAGAAAAGAGGAATGCTTGGAACAGGAGCATCTCTTACATGGTGAACTAATTCTTACATAGTGAATAAGTTCTTACATGGTGAACAGTACAAGGGCATTCATCACAGAAACTTTCGGTTTTGATCACACATTATAAACAATCAGGTCAAATATGAATATTCGTTTGATTTTTATACTTGATTTATATGTGGATCCCACATTTCTCCCTTTATTATTATTATTATTATTTTTAATAAAATGCTGAAGTGGTAGGTAGATGCAAGATAAAGGTAGAAAACATAGTTGAGTGTTGTAAGAGAGCAATTGTAGATGATCAGGTGAGTGTCTGTAGACTATGTGTTAATCCGAGCTAGACAAGGGCAATAATACATCCACGGATGCAGAAGATTTCTCTCAAAACGGGGGGTGAGGTTCTAAGCTTCACCACTGTTGATCCCCAATTAACAATTTGCTTTTTAAGGAAGAAAAAATATTTTCACAGAAATACATGGAACTTCCAGATAAAAGAAAAAAATTCAATGAGTTAACAGATTAGACACAGCCAGAGATCACTTTTGCACCTCAAGAAAGATCTGTAGAAATTATCCAGAAAACAGGGAAACCAAGTTAGAAGATGTGGACAGGAATTGTTATTAGAAATTCTCACTTAACGGCAGAAGGAAGTTGTCTTATCAGTGGGTTTCAGCCCCGGGCAAGTTCACTATGGATTCAATGTGACCGAAGAAATGACAGTAAAACTTTCTTGGGGTGAAAGGGTTATACCCAACTTTATTTCGACAGTGGCAGGTCAATCACTAAACTCCCGTTGACTTCAGAGCGAGTCTGCATGCAGCAAGCCGTTCTCTGCCTCTGGCCTCTCTGCCCGCACAGCTGCCCCAGTCGCTGACCTTGCTGCTGCCACCACTCCAGCCTCTGCTCTGCTCTCCTGCAGCCTTACAGCCATGCCATGGTGTCACCCAGAGCACTGGGTAGGGCTCTTTATATAGAGTCAATGGCAACGTATTGCCCACATATGTGTAGTGAGTGAGCCAACCAGGGCCAGGTGAGAATCCTGGCCACAGGAACTTTCATTTTATTCACATAAGTAGAAGCTGGTATAATCAGCTTGAAAAACACTTTGGCTAAACCTAGTAAAGTTCATATATGCCTGTGGAAACTGGGGGGCATCATCCAGGTTTCCCCTGCAGAACCCAGACATTAATTATTATGGCTGCTGGGAGATGCACTGCTGAGCTCACAGCTGAGTTCCTCTCAGGAAATTGCTCTTACTGAAATTGCCCTTGCCCAGGATAGGCACAGTCCTCCTGAGGGGCAACCTGTTGCCGACAGAGTTATAAGACCAAGCCTCCTCGCCTGAGTTTGGGACAGCTTGAAGGATAATTCCAGCTCTGGAGCTGACGCATCTGTTGTAATTACATTACAGTTTAACTTCCCTCTCTACTCAATTCTGCTTCCTTCAGTTCCTTGCAGGTGTGCTTCCAAAGAGCACTCCTCAGTCCATGTCCTGAAAGTAAACCTCCAGATCTATTTCCTGAAGAAGCCAACCTGACACGGTACCGTAGAGTGAAACCTACCAATTTATACCAAGACTTGTATACATGTTTGCCACACCAACAGCAAAAACATGGAAACAATACAGTGTGTATTAATAGGTAAACAGATCAACTTGATATTTTTCAGCAATTAAAAAAAAACTAGAAGAAACATTTTTGGGAAAATATTTTATAAAATCTTGAATTAGACCTTTCAAAAGTTTACTGTATACACAGAAGTTTGTAAGTTTCATGCCATATTTCATGAAACTTAGAGTCTATAAAATGAAAAAAATCTTACCGTATACAGACTTAAATTTTTTTCTTCCTGCGGAAAATAAAATTTTTTAATTTAAATCAATCACATAAAAATATTTGTGACATAGTCAAAGGGCTAATTTCCTTACTATATAAAGAGCATCTACAAATCATTAAGGTCAACAAACTAAGAAAAATGGGCAAAGGATATGAACAGAAAAAGAAATGTCTCTTAAACACATGAAAAGATGCTTAAATCTCACTCATACTACAAGAAATATAAATTAAAATTACAATTTGATACCAGATTTTTTTTTGCAAGGCTGTGCAGAAACAGGCTCTCTCATAACATTGGTGGGAGGATAAATGGCTTAGCTCCTATAGAGGGTAGATTTTAAATAATTTTGATCCAGCAAAAGTAAAAGAAATAACAAAGATGCTCAACACCAGGTTTCCCAATCTAGTGTGTCAATTTACTGATAAATATAGGAAGTTGTTTAAATTCAGTTTAAAAATCTGTCCTTTAACTTTCAAGTGAATTCCTTGTACATCTCTTTTAACTTTCCCAAGTTATCTCCCTGTCTTGCTAATAGTTTTCAGCCCCAGAGAAGTTCACTATGGATTCAGTGAGACTGAAAAGATGACAAGGGAATGTTCTTGGGGTGAAAGGGTTATACCCAACTTTATTCCCATGGTAGCAGGTCAATCACTGGAATTCCGTCCACTCAGAGCGAGTCTGCATGCAGCAAGCTGGTCTCTGCCTCTGGGCGTCTCTGCCTGCACAGCTGTCCCAGTCTCTGTCCTTGCCGCTGCCACCACTCCAGCTTCTGCCCTCCTCTCCTGCAGCCTTGCACCCGTGCCACCATGTCACCCAGAGCACTGGGCAGAGCTCTTTATATAGAGTCAAAAACAACATATTTCCCAAGTGTATGCAGTGAGCAATCTGACCACAGCCTGGTTAGAAGTCCTGCCACAGGAGCCTTCCCTTTCTCCACACTTCCATATGGGGCAGTGCAGTCTAGTGGAGAAAGCACGGGCTTTGGAGGAATAAAATGGGAACTGAGGGAATCTTAGAAATAGAGCTAGAAGAACTTTTAGAGCTCATGGTTCCCCTTCCCCTACCGCCCAGCCTCAATGGGCCCAGCCCATTGGTCTCCCCACTGCAAGCCATGAAGCCACTAAGCGTTTATACTGCCCAAGAGAGAGGCTCTGATTGGCTGATTTGTTATACAATTTGCAGCATCCTCATTGAACAGGTAAGCCCCCTCCTGGACACGTCTCATGGTGGCCCTTGCTGAGGCATCGACACTGCATCTAATTTCTGGTGATAAGGATAGCAAGCTGGTTTCAGGGACAGACACAGACCAAGCCACAGTGACATTCTGTAGAACATCCTGGGCTTGGCAGCAGGTCCCCAGAGCCTCTTGGACCTGCCAAGTACACGGCCAGTCTGGAACAGGCCTCCCTGTACCCCTCAACTGGCTCATACCAACTCCCAGAGACTCTGAGGCTCCACAGTCCGCCCTCTGATTTCTCCACCAACCTCAGCTCAACATGCAGGATTCCCGCAGCTCTGGGTCAGAAGAGGATCCTCTCTGGCCTCTTCAGTTATAAATTCTCCTCAGACATGGTAAGTTATCTCAGGCCCCAGGACTCCTAGCTTCTCGGGTCCTTGGGCCTGGGTCCCAGGTCCTTGCAGCCGCCCTCCAAGCTACTCCGCCTCCCTGGACCCTTAGAGTCTTAAACTCTCCCCCAGTTTCCTCCAGTAATCGCCTAGGGATCCCTCAAGCCCTTCCTGCCCCACCCAACTCACATCCCTGTGGCTTGGACTGCCCAGGGGAGCCCTCAGCCTCCCAGCTGTTCGCCCACAGGCCTGGCCTGTGGGAAGGGGAGGGTCTGGCTGTGGGGCCCCTCCTCCCTTGGCCCTACCCAGAAAGGGAGGGATAAAGGTCCCACTGGAGCCTTGCTGGTTTCCCACTTGGGGCTGCAGCTGGGATGGATTCCGCGGGGCCGGACGGCCATGGCCATGGCCATGGTGGGGAGAGCAGCCCCCACTCCCAACGGCGGTGCAGGTAGGGGCCTGGGTCTCAGGGGAGCCACAAAGAAGGTGGGGGGAAATTATTTGGGTTTTGACCTGGCCACTGGAAGCCCAGTGGGTTGGGTTGCATGGGGGAGGAGGGGCTTCCTTGCCCCGACCCCAACATTAGAAGGGTCTAGAGATATCTTCCACCTCCTCATAGTCCAGAGGAGGAGACTAGGACTAAAGAGGGCAAAAGCCATAGAGAGCTGGACAGCCTAGTCAAGGCTGGTCCAGGGTCTACTTCAGGGCAGGGATTCTTGCCTTCTATCTCTTCCACCTGACAAAGGTTTCTCTGCCCAGAAACACCAAACAGCTCCCTGTGAGGGATCTGGTCTCCTGGTCAGCTTTATAGCCCCAGAACTTAGCACAATGCCAGGTGTTGATACATGTTTGAATGGAAACATTACACCATCAGAGAGACACACACAGTCTTTGGAGCAGGCTAGCTCGCTAGGCTTCCATCAGACACTAATACCCAAGCACAGATTCTTTTTGCCAACAGCTGGAAGAGATCAGTTGCCTAGAGAGAACTGAAGTCTGGGTGGAGGAGGGATTATTGTAGATTTTAGGGTCTCAGTGTGAAGGAGTTTCCCTAGGCTGGAAAGAAAGGCAGCCAGGTAGCAAGAGGGAGGCAAAACAAGAAGATGGACTTTACTAAAGGGGACTTTCAGTTCCTTCCTGAGCTCGGTGCAGGGCCAGGAAGGTGGCAGCCTAGACTATGTTTGGGTCCTCAAGTTTTAAACCCCTGGCCAGGGGCTCCTTTGGCAGGCTCTACATCCCACCTTACTGAGCCGAAGCCTACCCTCCTCAGTTCCTGCCCTTCTCAGCCTCACACCCCACCCAACAGTCTGGTCTGAGTCTCCAGGTTCACTGCTGAGGGATCTGCTGCTCTATCCCCATGGGCCACCAAGCCCCTCTTAATGCCTCCCCAAGCCTGGATTACCTGTGACCTGCTCTGTCCCACCTGCTTGGCCTCAGAACTTGGCTTAATTCCCCAAATCCAGCACCTCACCCCTGACAAGTCAATCTTGATTAACCAGAGAATTATTGACCTGAGTGAGGACACCTGGGTTATAGCCCCAGCTCTTGTTTCGAGCCCTGGTCCAGGTACGTTACCTCTCTGAGCCTCAGATTTTGAAGCAGAAAATGACTCTTGACTTTTAAGACTTGTTTTGAAGAGTAAAAGAACTAATTTGACATTCCTCCAAACAAAGTATGTCACAGATATGTTAAAGGGGTGTGGGTGGAGGACCTGAACAAACGACAGAAACAAGGTTAAGCCAGGGTGGGTTGAATCTGTTTCCTCTGTGGGACCTGGCAGAACATTCAGTGTGTTCATGTACAATAAGCAGTATGCCACATGACTCGAAGAAAATGTGAAAGGAAGAGGTTCTCAAATGGATTCAATCACAAAGATCCTAGCCCCTTTTCTTGTGGCTCATCGAATGGGCTGAGATCCCATCTGGAAGTGCTCAGAGAGCTCTGTCACTGCACCTCTCAGCTCGGGAAAGAGATCATTTGATGGCCTGATTTTTTTGGCAGTCCTGGAGGTTGGTCTCATTGGTGGTCTTTGAAGAAAGGCATAGTTTTCCCAACATATCTCCCACCCAGAGGCTTCCCATTCATGGACTGGGGACAGGAGACCTGCAAGTCCTTCCTCTGGGGGTTACCGGCTCCTCTTCTCATGGTTGCCCACCCCGTCTGCAGTGACTCTTATTCCCACTTCACTCCTTCATCTCTCACCCTGTTCTTCACAACCCTCACTAACTTTGGCTGTCACCCACCGATCTGGTCTCTACCCAACCTGGCCTCTCCCTATCTATCCCCCCATATTATAATTGGGAGCAGAAACATACCAGACCAGGCAGTCTCTACAAACCTAGAAGAAATTTGAAAAACCACATATCCCCTCCACACTCCAAATTATTGAATAATTTTCATCATCATGTAAATTATTGCAAAGGTTATAATTTCTAATGTATTATACATAGTCCCATTTTAAAATAAAATGATGACATGACTTTTTTTAATTCTAAAAGAGATTTTAAAAATCTTTTTTAAATCACTAAATCAAATGCTTTTCACCATTTCTGACCTTCCTTCTCCAAGGCTGGCACTTTGGGCAAGATTTGAAGGGATGTGTTTCAAAGCCTTCAGCCCACAAGAACTTGCCCTCAATCTTCCTGCAGGAGCTTCTCAATTTTTCCCAGTAGGGAAGGAAGATGATTACAAGGCACCATGGGGTACTAGGCTGGGGCAGGCTGGGGCTCTGTGTAGACTCTCTAGGCTGCTTTGGGTCCTGCCAAGGAACTTGCTCTGTTGGCAGCCAACCAGAAATGGCAGGTGAACAGAGTGGATTTAAATAAAAACATTATTCTTTTTATGTATCCAGTGGCATTTAAATACCAGAGAGATTTGACATACAATGTATCCACTTAAAATATATAGATAAACAGGCTCTTACCGTTTTACATAATTCCTCTTTATTCTTGAATGTCTATTTTATTCCACTTCCCCCATAGAATTTTATCCTAATATAAATATTTTTATTCTTAGAAGTCTTTTACTGATCATGTTATGTTCTTTCAACAAAAATATTTGTGAAATGGAAGTTTCTAGACTTAGTTATTAGTAGACTCAGTTGGTCAAAATAACTTAAGTGTATTACATATTTTAACAGTTAATAACAAAAAGATTTCTTCTGAAAATTTTCTCCTGAGATAGATGGGACAGCTGTTCTCCCCTTCCCCCCTAAAAAGCTCATGCATCCACGGATAAAATTACTAATTGCTAGAACAAGATAGGGTTCAACATCAATTTCCACTTTTAATTTTTATAAACAGAAGCACTAAGAAATCTTGTTTACATAAATAAGTGGATGGAAATGAAAAGTGATTTGTTATAGTAGGGGCATTCAATTATTTAAGTTTCCTCTGAATTCAGTGCCAAAAATCATATAGTAGTCTATGATCAAAAATTATAATTTCATTATCTTACGTTACAGCCCTGTCCCTTACAACAGCTTCCTTAAAATTAATAACAATAATTATTATAAGTATATTATTATGTAACAGTAATAGTCACTATGGTGATGATTACTACTAGCACCTCCTCAAAGGCCTTTCCTGACCATCCTGCCTAAAGTGATCCTTTTCATGGTCTGCATTTGTCCTGATTATTTGTGCCCTTGTTGCAGGGCCTGGACTGGGAGAGGCGAGTAAGGTCAATTGTGCAGGGATGAATCCTGTCTTTATTTAAAAGTTAGATATTTTGTTCATTGGGAATACTTTTTGCAATGGTTTTGATCTTTTTTAAAAATTGCTCTAATGTATTCTTTTTATTACCGAGTTTTCTTGGCATCCCCTGAAATTTTTTGTCCAAGGTGAGTGCCTCACTTACCTCCCCCTAGTCTTGGCTCTGGATTCTTGGTTCTCTACTTTCATTACCTCAGCCTGAGCTCTGTAGGCAGGTTCCACATCCCGGGGCTCCACACTTTACTGGACCATGAAGGACCATGTGATTGACAATCTGGCACCTTCACCAACAAGACCAGGTGCCTGTCACCTGTTTTTCCCTCCCTCCTCCTGTTTCTCTCCCCAGGCCTCGCTCTCAGGTCTTCTGGGGAGTGGTGCTGGCCAGGCTATGGCAGACCCCTGGCTTGGGCTGGTCGTCTGTGTTCTCTTAGATTAAAATCCAGCCTTTGTCCCCACTGCCCTGGCCACTTCAGATGTGGGCTTGTTCCCCCTCTTGACAACAAAGCACATGATGAGCAGAGGCCCTCTATACCTCATACCTGTCCCAGAACCTGGACACATAATAGAATCTCAATAAACATCTGCCCGACTCAGCCTCCTCACACACTTTTCCACCTCAAACCCTGACCCTTGACAGCCCCGGTAGTAGTGATGATGATGATAACAGCAGAGTGATAGAGTCTAGTACAGGTGGAAGACTTGCTATGTGCCAGGTGCTTTGACATCACCCTGTGAAATAGGTACTAATATCTGCATTTTATAAGTGAAGAAATTAAGGCATGAAAAGATTGTCCAAGTTCATACAACCAGAAAGTAGTGGTACCAGGAAGAACTGGTTATATAATTAGTAGGACCCAGTGCAAAATGAAAATCAGGGCCCTTTGTTCAAAAATTTAATAATTTCAAGATGCCAACAGCAGGACATTCATTAAAGCAAGTGTGGAGCCCCTGTGTGACTACAGGAAGCTGGCCATGGTATCAGAATGTGAATTCTGACTCCAGAACACAAGACTCTGTGCTTGGAGGAAGTTAATAGAGATCACTGTGATTTTCTGAGTGCCTGCTACGTGTTGTACAAAATCTTTACCCTCGCAGCAACCCTGAGGTAACAATGCATTGTAACCCTCATTTCTGAGGGTGAGGAAACCAAGCTGTAGGGAAGTTGTTACACCCAGGGTTACCCAGCAGGGTCAGGATTTGAACATAGGACCAGCTTCGGAGCCTGTGTTCTTCCATCATACAGCCTGTTTTGATACGGATCCCAAAGGCAGAAACTAAAACAGCTGGGAGTGACTGTCAGATGATCTTTTAGGAAATTTGCCCAAAGGGCCTGTCGCTGGGGGTTGAGCTGCCAATTTGTTCAAGACCAGAAGGCATCCCAGGTCTGCAGATACTTCCAGCGAGGTTTCTGTTTCCAAGGAAATCAATGCAGGTGAGCACTTCTTCTCCCATGATGGGGAGCGGGGTGGGGGCCCAGGGGGATCCATTCCTTCATGGAGCATGCATCTTCCCAGAGCGTCTTCTCCCCTCTCAGCTCCAAGTTCTGGGCTGACTGGCTGTGAGCCCTGGAGGGGCCATCCCTGTCTCTTGGCCCTTCTCTTTCCCACTCCAGCTATCAGCACCCGCAGCCCCCAGGCCTCCTGGAGTGGGGCTGCCGCCATTCGGAGCCACATCTCACCCTGCCAGGACCCCAGCTGGGGCTGACCCGCAGGGCCTCCGAGCCCACCTACCTACCCTCTCTGGCTGTGGGTTGGGGCAGGGCTGGAGCCTGCTGGGGCACAGAGCCTGGCCTGGAGGGGTTGTCCAACAGGACCAAGGAGGTTGGTGGTGGTTCTTGGAAGTCCCTGTCGCCAGCACGTGAGTCATCAGGGGCACTGCAGGTGGGTGCAAGTGGCATCTGAGAACCAGGGTTCCTGCTCTGTTTTGAAGCAGATTTATATTTCCTTCCACCCTTCTCCCTCTGCAAGATTCCCAGCCAAAGGGAATTTTCCTCCGGCTCTGTTGCCGTGTGTGTGATTGCAGTAGAACACCATGACACCTGTGGGGTAAAACTACACAGTTTCAAATGCCAGCTCCCCCACGTAGTAGTGTGATCTTGAACAAGTCACCTAACCTCTCTGGCCCTAGGTTTCCTCATCTACAAAAGGGCACTGAAATACCTACCTCATAGTGTCATATAAGGATGTGGTGAGTTCACGTGTGTGATGCTCTTTCGCACAGTATCTGGCACCTGATAAACCCTAAATGCTAGTGGTTATTTTTTAAATTGTTGCTCTAATTCAACACTCTCCAACAGAAATATAAGTCATGGAAGTAATTTTTGGTAACAGCTTTATTGAGATGTAATTCACAAACCAAAAAATTCGCCAACTTAAAGTATGTAGTTCAGTGTAATACTGTGTATCAAGTGTCAAACAAACATTACCTCCATCTGATTTTAGCAGATTTTCACTGCCTCAAGAAGAAACCCATTAGCAGTCACTCTCCATCCACCTACTCTCCCAGCTACTGGCAACCACTTGTCTTTCTGTCTTTATGGATTTGCCTCTTTTGGACTTTTCACAGAAATGGAATCACACAATATGTGGCCTTTTGCATCTGGCTTCTTTTACTTATGCAAAATGTTCTGGGTTCATCTGTGTTGTAGCATGTATTGGTACTTTGTTCCTTTTTATGGCCAGATAACATTCCACTACCTGGTGTAAAATGCTATGCCACATTTTGTTTTAGTCCTTCATCAACTGATGGACACTTGGGTTGTTTTGCTTTTTGGCTATTATGAATCACGTTGCTATGAGCATTTATGTACGTGTTCTTGTGTAGATTTGTATTTTCATTTATACCTAGGGGTGGAATTGCTGGATTATATGGCAACCCAATATATACAAATTTTATGTCTGACATTATCAATATTTTTAGCATGTAATCAATATAAAAAGTTAATGAAATATGAAATTAGTGAAGTCTGTTTTGGTACTAAGCTTCAAAACCTCATGCATTTTACACTTACAGCACACCTCAGTTTGGGCTAGCTCACTTTCACATGCTTAATAGCCTCACGTAGTGAGTGGCTGCTGTACTGGACAGCACCGTTCTAAGCAGTTGTATTAGAGATTTATAGTTCTGATGGGACTCTGAGTACCTGGGGGCAAGATTTCGTGTGCCCACAGAGCCTTGTATGCAGCAAACACTCACTGGGTGCCCCATGAATGAGTAGATGAGTGAATGGATCCATTTTTCCCTGACAGCTGCTAACCACAATCACAGCTACTCTCAGAAGTCTACTCCTCAGTCAAATACTGTCCAGGAACTTGTGGCTCCACTTCACAGCTTGGGCCTTGAGATGCAACAGGTAGTGGGGGAGAGAGATGCTGGACCTCCGAGATGCCCAGACCTGCCGGAGGAGGGCTCTGTGGCCCCTGGGGCTATATTTGAGGTGGCAGTTGGGGGCTGGGGTGTGCTCTGACCCTGCCTTTGGCTGCAGAGGGAGCAGGACAGTCGGGACGTGGTGTGTGGCATTTGCATGGACAAGGTGTGGGACAAGCCAGAGGCTGAGCGGATCTTCGGCATCCTGCCCAACTGCACCCATGCACACTGCCTTGGCTGCCTGCGCACCTGGAGGAAGAGCCAACAGGACTTTCCACCGGATGTCATCAAGTCAGTGTCACGAGTTCTCAGTGAGGGAGGGAAACTCCCCGCAGGCTTGGGGGCTGGCCTGTAGGCTGGTGACCATTCTCCCACCTCCCACCACACCCCGCTCCATAGGGCCTGTCCCCAGTGCCGAGTGCACTCCAGCTACATCATCCCCCACAAATTCTGGGTGAGCAGGTAGGCTGAAAAGGAGGAACTCATCAAGAATTTCAAGGCTCGGACCAGGTGAGGCTGGCAGGGGCAATATGACTCGGGGTTAGGGAACAGGGGAAAACAGCCCCCCTTCCATTCCAGCTCAGCCATGCTTCTCAACCTGGAAGCCCCCAAATCTTGGAAGTTCAGAGTGATGGAGGTGGCAAGGGTGTGAGCTATTTCCACTACTTCAGAAAACCCAAGGAGTAGTGGTGAGTGACAGGCAGCAGCAGGAGAGCAAGGCCACGGTCCTGTCCTAGCCTGGCTCAGGATCCATGCAGGGTAACTCTGGTTCTCTCAGTGCAATGAGAAGCGCTGCTTGGTTTTTACTTCTGATTTTTGTAAGAGGGAAGTAAGTTGATATTACTACATGTTGTTTGCTTAGATGATCTTTGAAAACATGGGGTCTCTGGGAAGGAGACCAAAAGACAGTGCTTGGAGATGGGGGAAGTTTTTAATCTCTTGGAGAGGGTCGGCATTTATCCCACATCTGGAATTAGCTACAATCCCATGTTCTTAATTCCACCTTCCCAAAGGGCTTAGCGTGCTTGACATATGCAAAGTGTACTTGGATAAAGGGTGGGATAAAGAAGAAAGTCTTGTCTCTGCTTGTGAGACATGGAACCTTGTGGTGAAGACACCTGGATTTTGCCTGTGAACTGTAATAGCTGCATTAACAAAGTTACTGAGAAAAAATGTGGGTGTGTCTCTCAGAGGGGAAGTGTGTGAGTTGGGTGTTGGAAGAGGCTTAGGGGCTCCTGAGGAAGAGAAAAATGAGAGCACTCTAGTCAGAGATAGGTTGAAGTGGGGATCTACTGGCAGCTGGGAGTCCTTGGAAGTTATCTAGGCCAGAGGGGAGCACCCAGGCCTGCCTATGATAGGAGACAGCAGAGAGGTATTACTGTGTATGAAAGACTTTGCACATCATAAACTCCATGGAATAGGGACTCTTACTGTCCTCATGCTACAGAAGAAATTGAGGCATGGTCAGTGTGACTTGAGTGAGGAAGTGGGATTTGAACCCAGACATTCTGGCTCGGAGCACATACTACAAGGAATGGTGGGAGGATATTAACTAGATGGTGAGGTGGAGAGGAAGAGCCCCACCAGGTGGCCAACTGACCATGAAATTGAAAGGAAATCTAAGGTAACTTACGTTTCCAGCACTGGTGGCCACGGGATTGCTACTGCCATGTGAGAGCTGGGGGAGGGTGCTGATGGGCCATTTGGACAGGTTGAGGGTGGGGGTTTGTAGGGTATATAGATGGAGGGGGTCCTGATGCTAGGTTTGGTCAAATGGTAGGAGTAAGAAGAAGGGATAGTCATATAGAGGGCTTCCCAGGCTTCTCACTTGGGTGATCAGTGGGGTCCTACGTTCACACAGACCTGTGTGAAGTGAGAAAGACAGCTGTGCTGGAATCAAGCAGAGGGTGGTAATGCAGGAAAATGCTCCAACATGAGCTCTGTCCTTTTCCCTGCTCTCGTCCGTCTTTCTCTGCAGGAAGAAAGCTGGTCCTACCAAAGTGGATCCCAAGTTGCCCACAAACCCTTCCTGACCTTTCACGGAGTGAAATTTGAAATCTCAGAAGTGGGAAACTTCTTAATCAATTTCATTAACTAGCTATGATCAAATCATAAGACTGTTCCTCAGAACAGGACATTATCCTAACTTGTTTAAAGACACATTTTAGGGTTATCTGCTGCCTCCCCACCACCACCACCCTTTTAGTTGTATTATTGAAATTTAGTTGAAAGAAGGAAAGGAGATTCCCAGGGTCAATACTGGCCCAAAGAGAATCTGGGGGAATTAAAGAAGGTACTCCTTAAGACACTTTAGTGCCCTCTACTGGAAAATAGTTGCAAGAAATGTAAAATCTACACTGTGATGCTAGTGGTGCCTGTATAGATGTGGTTGGTGCCTTTCTGCTGTGTACACCTATCCAACACCTATTAGGTGTCAGCCTTGAGTGCTCTTTCCCCTTTTCTTCTCTTCTGCCCTCTCCTAGCCGAATCCGATGCCGGTACTTCACACGCGGGCATGGCCACTGCCCCTTCAAGTCTGACTGTATTTACCTACACCAGCTCCGGGATAAGGCTCTGACTTCTGATCCTCCCCGGACTGCGAGTATGCAGTTGGCCTCTGGCAGTGAGGTGGTAACAGCAAGATTATGGAGCAGGGGAGGCTGCTGGTCATGATTTATAATAAATGTAAAACCTATATATCATGTTCATGATAATAACAGTACCCACTTAGATGTGGTACCATTGTGACATCCTGCCCAACCTTGTGTGTCAGCCTTGATTCCCCTGTTCCTGGAGCAGTTCAGGTTGAACATGATGGGTTTTTACTAATGTCCTTCTCTACTCCCAGGTGCTGGGCTTGACAACCTTCCTAGGGGGCACTGAGCCAGAGGATGAAGTGTTCTTCATGGACTGTGCCCTGGCCATGGCCTGCTTGGGTTCAGAACTCCTACTGGATCCCAACAGTTCTTACCACAGCCTCCTGTAATCAGCATCAACAGTGTGGGGCAGGGGTAGAAGGGGCTGAGGGGTAGGGGTTGCTTGGTGGTAGGTCTCTTCCCTTCTGGGGCTTGGTGGGGATGAAAGTAGCAAGCCCTCCACCTCCATGAACTGCAGCAGTGGCACAGCTGGGGAACATGGGGAGGAGTGGAGGGCTCTTGGGAAAGAGGAAGGTTCTCATCTTCTTGCCAGGGACTTGGTTTTTAACTTTGCTCTTTTGTAGAATTCTGAAAGAAAAACCAATAAAATGCAACTAAGCTATCATCCTCGGTGTCTGAAGAGTGTCTGCTTATAGCCCAGACACCCCACGGTACCCTCTCCAACCAAGGATTGCTTCTGCATTCAGTCTGAAAACTTCACTGTACATGTATACAAGAATGAGAGAGGAAAGGGCAAATAACATCTTAGTATTATGAAAAAAGTGATGTCATCACAGATCTCATGAAAGGGTCTTGAGGATCCCTCGGGTTTCTTGAACCACATTTAGAACTTTTCTCCCTGCTCTCCTTCCCAATGGCTAGAATGCAGAGCTTGGTGGATAGGAGCCAGAGCCACCACAGAGTAAAGTAGTTGGTTGAGGATGGGCAGGGCATTGAAGGCTGTTTGGCATTCTTGGGCCTGTCCACTACTTGTCAGGGCCTGCCTCCCTCCCAATAGCTGGTCATCTTAAGACAAAAACATCTATGAAATTAGAGCTGCTAACCTGAGATAGAGGTGCCTGGAAGAAACTTCTTTTCTACTACTTTGGCCTTTGCAAAGCAGGCACTATCTAAGAAATACTCCTTAGTCTTTTCCAACAGCTCCTTTGAAATCATTTTGGAAAAATAAAAATTTTTGCTCCAAAATTTGGCTCCAAATATTCCTCTGGCTTCTCATACTAGTGAGTGAAAGCCGAAGTCTTCTCAATGGCCTCAAGGCCTCACAAGATCTGGCCTGGTTACCTCTTTGATCTCATCTCCTATTACCAGGAACTGCACTTTGCTCCAGACACACTTCTGTCCCAGGGCCTTTGCATTTGCTTTTTTTCTCCCCCTGAAATGGTCTCCACACAGACCCTCACCTGGCTTGACCCCTTAACTGCTTCAGGTTCATCTTGCCTGACTAGCTATTTAAAATGGCCTCACTCTGTCTCCCTTACCTGCCATATTATTCTTGAAAGCACTTACCACAATCATACATTCTATTGTTATTTAGATGTCTGTCTTTCCTCACTTGAGTGTCAGCAACAATGAGGGCAAGGGATTTTACCTTATTCCCTTTATCCCCAGCCCTATGTGCTCAGTAAAGATTTACTGAATGAATGGGTGTGCGTGTGTGTGTGTGTGTGTGTGTAGGGGGAGTAATATAAAAGCTGGCACCCAAAATAGGGTTGATGGGGTGCTGTGAGGCTCTTCTCCCACTCGGTATTTCTATCCTCAGCAACGATCCCTCCCTTCGCTGGAAGCCTACCTTCCTCCAGCAGATTTCCTTAAACCACAACTCTGAGGGGTGGAGCTACTCCGGGCCCCTTACAAACAACCAAAGCAAGGTAGCTGCTTGGTGTTTGGGAGGAAGTTCACAGCAAGGCCTTTGGCCATATAGATGGCATTAGGTTTTACTGCGACCCCGTTCTCAGGGATATCTGTACACCAAATATTTCAGGAGACGCCTGGACCCGAATGTTGGCAGCTGATGTCCTGTGGAAGACGTGATATTATGGTGGGGTGGTGAATTGTGATCAAATACTATCGCAAAGGTCGTGATCTACAAACAACATGCACATCAACTAAAATGAAATGATGCTTGGATCCTGAAGTACAATAGGATCCCTGGCATCCATTCTGCACCGCGCCCTCCACGCCACTTCTGGGAGCTGTGGTGGGAGAACGAAGGTTAAGGTCAGCTGTAGGTGATCCGCCCCTGTGTTTTAGAGCCCACCTTATATGACCCCGCCCATGAACTGACCCCTTCTGGGCTCGCCCCGTGGAAAGCGCGCTCTCCGCCCTCGCCCCGCCCCTTCTCTGTACCCCTCCTCTGCGGCAGGAACCACTCCTGGCCCCGCCTCACGTCCGGTCTCGCGCCGCGCCGCGTCGCGCGCGCCCTTCCCTTTCGGCCTATGTGCGCGAGTTGCGCGGGTCCCAGGGGCTGCGGGCGCTTCCCGGAGCCTGGGGTGTGTGTGGCTGGCGTGGGAGTGCACCCTCCGCGGCGTCGGGTGCGGCGCTGGAGTCTCCCTCCCTTACCCCAGGCCTCCGAGCTGAGGCCCGAAACCAGAGCGGGGACCGCGCGGCACCCGGGCCGCGGGCATGGCGACCCCGAAGGCGACGCCCCCTCAGGCTGAGGGCGCGGGGCGGGCGCCCTGGGCGCAGCTGGAGGCCCCCGCCCACCTCCTCCTGCAGGCGTTGCAGGGGGGCCCCGACGGGGCGCGGCGCGGCCTGGGGGTGCTGCGGGCCCTGGGCAGCCGCGGCGGGGAGCCCTTCGACTGGGGCCGCGTCCTCGAGGCGCTGTGCCGGGAGGAGCCCGTCGTGGAGAGCCCGGACTGTCGCTTGGAGTTGTAAGTCGGCCGCCCGAGGCCCCCCGTTCCGCATTTCTTCCCCCACAGCCGTGGAGGCAGGGGCTGGCCCTACCCGACTCCCGTAGATGAGGCGCCCGAGGCCCGGAGGGGGTTCCCTGCCGCGCACCCTGTGTGGAGGCGCAGTCCAAGAGATTGGGTACCTGCTGTGCGCAGGCCGGCGCCGCATACCTAGGAGTGAGACACGCCTCCGTTTGAGTGTAAATGAATAATTATAAGGCAGTGGACCCAAATTGATCTTGATCGCATACTTTCATATCTAAAAAAATCGAGCTCCTCTAGTATAGATATATGTGGGTATGCTATGCACACTTATGTATAACGCGTACACGCGTTAAAATACGTACGTAAACATAGATTTTAAAAGTGAGGACAATAAACGTCTGATCGTGGTGCCTTTATATTATCAATTTTTCCAAGCATAATAAACATTTTAGGGCAAGGTCACTTCCCTTAAGGAAGGTGTTGATAAATTCTTGTCTTAGGAGTCTGAACTTTTCCTCTTTATGTGACTGAAGGAATTACTACCAGTGTCAGCTCTGCCATTTTCTTATTGGGTTGTGCTGCCTTTATTGGTATTCAGTTTCTTCTCAGGCATTCTTATAATACACGTGTCCATTTTTGTGAGAGTTCCTTTTGTTAAAAAAGATAATACAGTATCCATAAATGCACTTAATATTTAAATACACAGAAAGTAAAGCAAGTGAGTGAGGTGCCACCTTCAGCCTGTAGGGGGCTGGAGAGCGGGCCTCCACTCTTGGACTCCTCCCTCCCAGTTAGGCTGGAGACTGGAGTGTGGAGGACCAATAAATGTTTGATTACACATTAAATATTTAATACTTGATTTATGTTTTATATAAGTAGAAATAGGAGTTATGATATTTTCTAACCATACTCCACTTAGAATTTCTTTCTCTGGAAAGAAATGGATCAGGAAAACTTCCTGAATTTCCAAATTGGAGATTTTAGGAATGTTTGTCCAGCTGTCTGGCTTTTTCTGGACAGAGTAAGGGGAGGGGGACTTAGCCCAGTGTTTTTTGGATAGAACTGTACTCAAGTATAACTCAAGGTTTCTTTTGAAATCCTATGTATTTTATGCATTTAACACTCTTATTCTGATAAGGGGGTCCATGGGCATACAAAAACAGCGCAAAGCCTGTGGAGTAGGGTCCTCCCCACCTATGTACTCCAAATATTCTCCACCACAAACTAACCATCTTTGTACCTTTTACTCTAGTTTTCTCTCACTTGGTTTTTTTCCCCACAAAAACATAAAAGTTGGTTTTATTTTCTCACAAACACCCCTAGTGCTTCTGTGCGTGGTAACAAACAGTCCTGCAGTCATGTGTAGAGAGGAGCGGAGGCAGGGTGGGTGACAGGCTTGGTGCACCGGTGACTTGCCATGCCAGCAGGCCTCAGGGCACCCAACCTCTGGATCTGTGCCTTTACAGACGGCTTATTCTCAGAGAGTTAATTCACTCAGGTGCCTTCTGTGGACTGGGACACAGGAAAGCGACGCTGCCTTCTCTCAGGGACTCAGTTTGGTGAAAGGAACATCAGAGCTAGACAGATGTAACCCTGTGAGTTCCAGGGCACTGCCAAGAGAAGCAGACAAGGCATTACACAGCATCTTGGAGTATTATTTTTACACAAAGTTTGGGAGAGGACTTTTTTCTTTTTTATGTGAAACAAGCATGGATCTGATACCATTTCAGTATGAACTTCTGAGCTGAAGTAGATGTTGAAGTGCAGGGCCCCCCCAAAGAATACTCAGTGAACGCTTGTTGAATGACTCTCATGCTGTCCCTTCTCCTTCCACACTGGCTTATGATTCTGCCCCCCCAACAACCCACCCTATCTGTCCATTGCCATCTAGCTTCTAGATTTATCCTGTCTGTCCTATGCTCCTTTCAGCAAGACACTTTTTTTTTATTTAATTTTTTATTAAGGTATGATTGATATACACTCTTATGAAGGTTTCACATGAAAAAACAATGTGGTTACTACATTTACCCATATTATCAAGTCCCCACCCATACCCCAATGCAGTCACTGTCCATCAGTGCAGCAAGTTCAGCAAGACACTCTTAACTCCTTGTCTTCTCTCTGCTACCTAGGAAACCGCTGCTGCTGCGACTGCCCCAGTTATGCCAGAGGAACCTGATGTCTCTGCTGATGGCTGTTTGGCCATCGCTGCCTGAAAGCAGGCTCCTCCCTGTGCTGCAGGTTGCACAGCAGGACCTAAGCCCTGACCCTGATGTCTGGCTCCGGGCCCTTGGGGAATTGCTGCGAAGGGATATGGGCATTGGGGTCTCCACTGAGGGAGCATCCCCACTGTCTAAAAGGTGCCAGAGACAGCTGCAAGGCTTGTGTAGGCGGCTGGGCCAAGGGGGCAGGAGGTCGACATTGCCTCAAGCTCCAGACTCGGAAGAGGAAGAGGAGGAGGAGCACAAGGACTCCCAGTGGCCTGGAAAACGCAGAAAGGAGCCCGAGGAAGAGCCTATCAGTCCTGAGAGGGAAAGAGCCCCCAAAAGGTTCCGGGGTTTGGAAAGGAAAGAAGAAGAAGAAGGTGGTCAGGAGGAGAGACCTGAACATGAATCTTTGGAATCCCTGGCAGATGGAGGAGGTGCATCTCCCATTGAGAACCAACCTGTCATGGAGGCTGAGCCCAGTGAGGCTGGTCAGAGTCTGGAGGATGCCAAGGGCCTTGCTGAGA